TATATCTATAAAAGTTAGGTTCATACATGTATTTGTATTTGTGGGTTGTTTTTAATCATAATTCAAAAAAGGTGGCGATGATTGATGATTATCTTCCTTTTTCCCACCATTGTAACTATATTTAATTAAAGCCACTTGGGATTTCGTAATCTTCCTTAGATGATTATGAACACACTTTTATGATTTATTACACAAAATTATTTAATATTCATATGTCACATATCATGTGTATCTCTCTACAAATTTCCTGATCTTTTATGGGTTTCTCTCATTTAAGATACATTTGCGATCTCTAATATAAAAACTACTAGAAGAGTTGAATTTAGTTCTAAATATAATAATCCAAATGATTTAAGAGAGTATTTTTTAAAAAAATTGATACATATATTTAATAAATAATTAATTTATTTAACTAATTTTTTTAATTTACACAAATTAGTTAAGTAGACTGTATTAAGGATAGCTATGTCAATTTTTGGAATTCATTTTTAATTAGTGTACTGAGAAGTGCTTAGATATTTCTGGACTTCATTTCTAATTTTTCAGAATCTGAGAGGACTTTCCGAGATATTTTTTTGAATAGCCCTTTTTGTAATATGGAAAGTAACTTTTTATTTTATATACTGTTGAAGATTTACAAGTGAATTCAAACTCGATGCGGATCCTTGCTTGCGTGAAAGTGAATGTTGCTTCATCGAGTTTATTGGTGAGTGATAATGAAAATTCATTTGGCTAATAATTCCAATAACAATTACTTGACAACATAATTCCTTATTTATTTTAATTTATTCAGTTTTATTTACTACTGAGCTTCATGGAAGCATATCTATTAGGGTTCAATTTGTGCTCCTTCTGCATCTTTCAGTATATTATCTATTTTTTCACCACTAATATATTTGGCAGTTATAGTCAACAAGATGAAAGATTATTCACTGTTTGGTTGGATATACTCCTCTGGTCCTTAATATAGGACCCAATTGTTGAGTTGATTTGGTCTTAAATATAAGACCATTTCTCATATTTGTCAATTTTCTCTAATTACCCCTACGGATACTCCTTCAACCATAATCAAGTAGAAGAGGAAGATAGGGTATTTTGAGAAAATGATTATGGTATTTTAGGAAAAACGTGTCACATTTCTTATAATTAACTAACTTACCTAACTCCTTAATCTAATCAAATTAGTTAAATGGGTCTATATTAAGGACCGGAGGAGTATATTAAATCTGACTTTGCTACGTAACATATACTCCTCCGGTCTTAATATAAGACCTAATTGTCGAGTTGGTTTTGGTCCTAAATATAAAACTCATTTCTCATATTTATCAATTTTCTCTAAATTACTCTTATGGACACTTACTCAACCATAATCAAATAGAAGAGGGAGAGGAGGTATTAAGAAAGATGATTATGGTGGTTTTAGAAAAAACACATTTCTTATAATTAATTAACTTATCTAACTTTTTAAATCTAATCAAATTAGTTAAATGGGTCTTATATTAAAGATCAGAGGAATATAATTCCCCCCGCTTAGTCAGTACAAGATTTTTTCCCTGTTGCTTAGAAATGTACTCTATCCCATGATTAACTAGCTTCATGATATTTGAGGGGTGGTCATTAATATTCCTAAACTTACAAAAACAAATTCACTAAAATTATTATCACAACAAAATGTGTTGAGAAATTAAAAGGATGCCACCAACTTGATGCAATTAAGGTGAGCAATATTTTTTTTTCAAAAATCAATTACCATTTCTTTGCTCTGTATTTGGGACCAACTAGGATTTTAAAACTCTGCTGTATAATTAGAGACTGGGGGGTTGGCAAAAAGGAAGAAAAATAACTACAGACTGAAGGATTGTGGGCTATGCAGAGTTCCATGGGCAGTTTGATATATGATGAGCCTGCCTGCACTCCTTTGATGGGCCGTGGTCTTGGGCCAGAGAACAGAACAAAAAGGAGTATGTTTCGTATTGGGCCATCGGAGTTGCCACGCAGAAAGGAGCGAGAGAGAACTTCGTGGGACCCCATGACCCAGCCCATCAAGGACTGGACTCGACTTGCTCGATTTTAGCCCAAGTTAGTCCAGCCCCCACCAGATGAGGAGTACAAGACTAAAAACACTGGACCGGGCCCCAGGTGATATTCGACCCGGTCAAACTCAGTTCACATGCTCCCCATTTCAAGGATAAAATTGATATCTTCAAAAATTGTTTAATAAAAAATATTTTGAATTATATATGTATTTTAAAATTTCATGTGATAAATAATATAAAATTTGAAGGATTTACTGATAAATTTTTATGTTTTAAGATGTTAGCAAAGTTAATTTTGAATCGAGAAAAAGATCACAAGGATGACCATTTAACAGGATTTTTTTTTTTTTTGATGAGCCATTTAACAGGATTTTGGCATCATAAGTAGGAGGGGAACGAAATTGATTCAACACGTGAAAGGAAAAAAAAAAAAAAAGAAGGTTAAAGCAGAATATCTGGATATGAGCAAAGACAGAGAGGCAGCAAGTAAAATTTAGCATCAATATGAATGAAGACAAAAAGGCACGTGTCTGTTCTTTACAATAGAAAGCAGAAACAGTGCTTAAAGGGAATTTGCTTGGAGGTGGAATTGAATTGAGAATCGACCATCACCACCTCATCTTCCTTCAGCCACCTACCCAACCAGTGGCACCCACCCACCATTCCTTCTCACGAATGGTCCGAAATACCCTCTCCATCAACGACTTCCTATAACGCTTCAACACTTCGACTTCACCAAACATTTTCCATCTTCCAAGGCCCCAGCTCTTTCAATGGAGGACGAAGCCTCTCATCATCAAAGACCGCAGATTTGGATGCTCCTCTTCACGCAATTGGCTTCGTGATTGAAGATGTCTCCCCCCACAGGGTGGCCGGCCGCCTCCCTGTGACTCATAAGTGCTGCCAGGTCAACCCCAACTTTTCTTCATTCCCAATTTCCCCTTCTTTCTTCTGTGCTTGATTTACTGAGATCTCAATGTTTTTGGTTGCCGAATTTAGCCGTTCAAGGTCTTACATGGAGGGGTGTCGGCCATGATCGCAGAGGGCCTGGCAAGCATGGGAGCTCACATGGCTTCTGGTTTCAAAAGAGTAGCCGGAGTTCAGCTCAGCATCAACCATCTCAGACGCGCCGAGCTGGGTGACTTGGTCCATGCCGAAGCCACCCCTCTTCATGTTGGCAAAAGCATCCAGGTCTTCCTTCCTCTTTCACATTGCATCTCTGTCTCTCTTAATTCCTTCCATGCACAAAAGTTCAGTTTATGAGGCTTTCTGGTATCAATAAAACATCACAGAATCACAACATTATGGGCATAAACTGAATAAACTTTTAATTCTTTCATACATTACTTACGCCATAAGCTGATGCTCTGCTGTTAGCCATCAAGAATTAAACGCGATTTAGTCCTACCATTTTATATCCTCTCATTCCCATGTCGTGATCAAATCACCTTTGAAACCATATAGACCAATAACGACCTTGCACAATTCTGGTTTTTTTGGCCTCCTCTTCCATTAAGAACAGTCGATCATTTATCCTCCAACATCCTCCCTCCCTTTGAATCATCACTCCGAATTCCATCTGCTGTACCTGTTGCCACAACTTCCTTATCCTGCATCCAAGCAACTTGATTCTGATGTAGTGAAATTCATAGCAGGCTCATATGTTGGTCAGCACTTAGCTGTTGAACATCACCTTATTCCTGTAAAGCCTGATTTCACACAGAGCCAAGGCCATTAATCTGGCTTAGTCCGCCAGCTGCTAATGAAATGGATCGACTTAAGAAAACCGTAGAATTATAAATAGCAACCCCACCCCCCACTTCCCCGGCCCCAAAAAAGAAGAGAGAGATAAATGGATGCAAGTGTTTCCATTCTTTACTCATAGAACCTCTGTCCCTAAACTGTTATCATCTCAACAATCGACATAGCCACATTCTGGTTTCCGTCTCTGCCTCGTGACCAAGTCGTTATTAATCTGTTCATTTGACCAGTTGTTGAAAGAAACTGCTTGGAGATCTGCCGAATAACTTGAGAGTTGAGAAGAAAAACTAGTACTAAGAAATTGAAAATTCCAACCTCTTTCGTCACTATATGAACATTTTTCCGGCTAAACATGATTGATATCGCCTCAGCATTTCTTTTTTTGTGCTTGAGTTTTCCTATTCGCTGAAGTTGGAAGTGGTCTGGTCATCATATATTTAAATTAGCATAGAATGTTTTCTACTTTACTGACACATATACTAGCAGATAGAGGAATTGAACCATTACAGTAATCAAGCTCACCCCAATGTTAAAGTTTGAGCTTGGTTTCAAGTGAACAATCAATTAATTGGCTGTTTCAGTTTTAATCTGCAGCTATTTGGCAGCTTAGTATCGTTAGCTTAAGAAGGATTAAAAATGCTATCCGTTTCATTTTCCCTCGATGTGGCACTGGGCATCACACCATACCTTCTTACTCTTAGGAGAAAATGTTCACTGGATTAGGAACTACATGCCCCATAACGAGCAAGTACATGTTGGTTAAATTCTACAACATAGAAGTCATATGTTGCTCTATTCAAACGTCATAAACAGACCCTGCTCATCAAATTTTACTCTATTTTGAAGCAGGTATGGGAAGTGAGAATTTGGAAGATAGATCCTTCAAACTCTCAAAATAGATCCTTGGTATCATCGTCTAGGGTTACTCTTCTAAGCAACATGCCAGTCCCAGATCATGCAAAAGATGCTGACAAAGCTCTCAAGAAGTATGCAAAACTGTGAATATTCATATGGTTTGATTTGTTTAAGTAATAAGTACAATTCTTCTGTAACCAGAATTGCATCAAGTCAAAAAAAAAAAAAAAAAGAATTCCTGAGATGCACAACATGATCATATCTTTTTTTGTGCATTTATGTATATGGATAATGAAACATCTTGCAATTAAAGGTTCAGGAGAAGCCTGGAAACTAATCCAACTGCGAAAAGAAACGCTATGCACGATCAGCTTTTCTCGGCATTTTGCAATTACAGCACCAAACTCAAAAGAACCAATAGTTTCCTTTAATTTGAGTTCACTAGCTGCTTCATTTTCAACTGAACCAGATGAACGAACAGGCCTGACAAGCAGTCAGCAATTCCCACATGGCGGTAAGTTCAGAGATATAGTTTTTTTTTTTTGGTTGGGGTGTGCGGAGGAACGTAGTGGTTATCTAGGCAACATTGGGGATATTCAGAATTAGGATATTGAGTCCTTGTTCCGGAAGGATCTTGCATCTTTAGTGTCTCTGTCATTCTCTACCGTGCGGATTCCAGAAATTTCATGCCTTAAAACGAAGGGAAGACATCGCACCATCAGAGATAGACTGACAGAAAAGGCTTAAACTGTACATCTATACAACTTATAACGAACAAAGGAACTCGAGAAGTATCACCTGAGATTTCTAAGTTCTTGGGCCAAGTCGTTCACCTCCATACTAGAAAGTTTGAGAGAAGATAAAGTTCCCGGTACCTCTTCTGAGGCAACTTTAGACAATTTTTTCATTGAAACTCCTAATCTTCCAAAAGCCTGTGCATGGCATGAAAACTCACCAATAAATGCCAGCCATTCTAAACATGTGCTATAGATGTGCTAAAACAGATGAAAACTGAATTCTTCGCTCACAACACTGAATAGAAATCCTTTTGAACTTACAATTACAGTTGGAACAGATACCAAAGCCACTGAAAAGAATGCACCAAAAGCCTACTACCAAAACACCAAAAAGACAAACTGATAATGAGAAGAAATGAGCATGAGAAACTAATTCAAGTTTCATATGCAAAAATATGCTTCCAAACTCTGTTTTGAATACCAAAGTCAGTAACAAATAAACAGAGAGGGTTAAAATAACAGTACCATGGAGAGTGAAAACAAGAGAGACAGAAGCCCCATTTTGGAGTGGGTCGAAACCCTAGATTTTTCACCGCATGAATGAGCGGAGTAGTCGAGACAAATGACTTTGCAGATGATGTGGCTGGGATCGACTTGGATGTCTCTGGTTTCGAAGTTAACTCCGATGAGATGGCTGATGCCGAAGTCGTTAGACGTCTTCGAGGAGTTAGGGCTGGAGCAAAGGAAGTGGAGATCGTCGTCGCCGGTTTCAGGGGAATCGGCAAACTGTTCCAGAGAAGCACAGACTGCGATTCCATTAGGCCCAACATTCTTTCAAGCTCCTTATTGTAATTCTTCTGGTTATTCTTTAGGAATATATTTGAAAATAAAATGTTGAGAAGAATCAATAGAAGCCTTCCTGCAGAAGCTAGTTGCCTCTGAAGTGGACGGAATGGAAGAATCAATGAAAGAAGGGCATGCATACAAGCCCTCCCGGAAAGTGTCCCTATGGCATTTGGAGGGAGAAATATCGCTAATTTTTAAAATCATACTCTTTCCACTGTCAAATAATAGTGCAAGGAATAATTATATTGATATTTGATATACACGTATTCATAATTAATAAATTAATACATATGATTACAAATGGATGGCTGTCTGAATTTTTTTCCTTCCTTTTTCCAACGATTTTTTTTTAATATTTTGTACATTATTACAACAATTGACTTATAATTTACCATTGTTTATCGTTTTTTTTTAATGACATTTATCGTTTTTACTTTTACCTGAAAAAATCAAAAGTATTTAGAAGCCTTAAAAAAATTAGATAGTCATTGAACCCTGCATGTTAATGAATTATTTCTTATTTTTAAGGGTGAAGTACGTAGAATATAGTAGTACTATGTCATTTGTGCATCCAATATCTCAATTTTATTTGTGATGCATCTGATACTTTTATATTATTTTTTTTATGAACCTGGTTTTTTCTTAATTTTATTTATTATGATGATTTATGGTGTTCAATGCATAATAAAAAAAATCAAAAAAATAATATCAGGATAATAGATATATCTGAAAAATAATATTATGATACTGAATTTTTTTTTTTAAGGCACTGGAAAGATTTGGTATTGAGCACCGCTCTACCCTAAAATATGACAAGCTCCTTAAAATGTCTCTATGCAAAGTCAGAAAAAATAATAAATATGAGAGATAACATGAATTAAGATTCTATATTTATTATCAAACACAACTCCCTAACTTTTTTTTCCACTTAACTCCCTAGCTAACTTTAACATTTATGATAAAAAAAAGTAGTAATCATAAGAAAATATTTAGATCAAGTTTTTTACATTCATAATGTCAAATTCTCTAATCACATATGACTATGTATTTTATTTTATTTTATGTGAATTTATAATTAAATAATAATAAATAAAAAATAGTACACTTACCATATGTGATTGGAAAATTTGTTGTAATAAATATAAAAAACTTAGATATAAGTATTGTATAAAAACCTAGATATTGCATAACCCCAAATCAAAATTCCTTAAAAAAATGTATTATTATTTGCAAGTCAAGTGTTGTCTAAATTTGTTAATATATACTACCTCCGGTTTTTAATATAAAATCTTGTTTGACTTTTATTTTGGTCCTAAATATAAAATCCTAATCCACTTTGTCTTTCATATTTATGTATTTTTTTTCAAAGTAGTCCTTCTAATAATAGTAGTTCTAATCAATACACTTGATTATCAAGGATATTTTAGGAAAGACAACAAATATTTAAATAAATATTTAACTTAACTTCTTTTCTTAATCTTCTCAAATTAGTCAGCTAGCTCTTATAATTAGGATTAGACGTTATATTACTAGACACGATCAGGCGATAATTTCTCCGTTACTTTTTACACTGAATGATTTTTAGCTCACCACTCTCATGAAATGGATGTTTAGTTCATGACAAGATTTTTGTATTTGAGCTCTTTCACTGTATTTCCTGTATATAAATTCGCTACAAAACTAGGCTTCGGTCTTTTGCCTTTCTAGTCACGCCAAAGTAATCGAACTTTCAACGACCTCAATTCCAACTCTCTGGGAAGCCAACATTTCATGCAACTACGTTGCTTACCAAATGATTTGTTTGAATTCTTCTTTAAAATGTATTTTTCTGGGGTTACCAAGTCTGACAAGAAAGCAGACTTTTATTAACCAGTCTTGTGCACTATACATTTTGATACAAATATCACCTGCTCCAAGACATACCGACTTTATGTTAAATTATATATAATGATATACTACATTCACTTCTAAATATAAGAACTAGTTGACTTATTTAAATAGATTAAAAAAACAAATTAAGTTAATTATTTGTAATAAATAAGTATTGTCTTTTATAAAATATCCTTACTAATCAAGTTTGTTGGTTAGAAATATTATTATTAGAAGGACTATTTTAAGAAAAAATAAATAAATATAAGAGACAAAGTGGATTTGGGTCTTATATTTAGGACCAAAACAAAAATCAAATAAGATTTTATATTAAAGACCGGAAGCAGTATAAAAGTATATATATTTTTCCTATTTCTTAATTTCCTACATGATTGAAAAATGTTACCCCCGGAATAGAGAGAAGGTTAAAATGTAAAAGGATAGCAAAGGTCGAATAAATTGAGAAAAATAGTAAGACGATAGAGATCTGGACGCGGGTCAGACGCGCACAGAAATAAATTTCCATTCCAGGGCATTTTCTGGACTCTGGTATACCCCGTCGGCTTATCCATCAGTTTGATATTCAACTTGACAAGGTTTTTATTAAGCGCAAAAGAAGAAAAAATGATGGCAACTCTAGCTTTTCCACTTCAAACACATTATGTGATTATGGTACTCTTTGCACGTTCTTTTCCTTTTGTTTTTTTTACCCCTTGGACTGACTAATGCCATGGAATTCTTGAGGCTTCTAAATTTCTTGTAATATTCAATCCTCCATTTTTCATAGAATCATCCGAAAAAACTCCGTCTGATCTCTGAGATAAGAGTTAGATGGAGTTATATTTAGTTTTAAATAGAATACATCAATTTATTTTGTTGTTCATGTTTATTGTTTTTTGAAACTAATTTACCTAACTTGTAAATTGATATAAAATCTAATGTTGTACATAAATATTTCAATGATGTTGAGTTATAAATGACTAATTTGTCTCTTTTTTCAATTTATGTAAATTAAATTAGTTAAGGAGCCATTATATTAATAACCAGATGTAGTATTATTTAGCAATATGGATACAAGTTGGCTCCATGTAAAAGGAAAAACAAAAAACAAAAAACAAAAATCAATATTAAAGGATATCAAGATTACATTTATATGGACATCATTAAAAATAAAAATGCAGTCTTAGGATCGAATGTTGAAAGGTGACATGATTGTTAAATAAAAGCAGTTGCGTGCAATGCCTCTGGTTGAACACAGAGAGAGAGAGAGAGGGACAGGGAGAAAAATCTCCATGGAGGAAGCAAAAATGATGATGATAAGATACAAGTCATAACTCAGTGAAAGGTCGACCTCCTTAAAAAACTACTTAATACATTTGATTTGCCTATTTATAATGCACTTCATTGACCTGTATTTTATTAATTATATCTGTCTATATTTTCTTCCTAGACCGTGACTCATCTTGGATATTTTTTACTCCTCCGGTCCTAATTATAAGACCAATTGACTTATTTGAGGAGATTAAGAAAGTAAGTTAAGTTGGTTATTTATAATAAATAAGTGTTGTCATTCCTAAAATATCCTTGCTAATTAAGTATATTGGCTAAAACTATCATTATTAGAAGGATTATCTTGGAAAAAAATGCATAAATATAAGAGATAAAATGGATTGTGGTCTTATAATTAGGACCAAATAAAAGTCAAATTGGGTCTTATAATAAGGACCGGAGGAGTAACATTTTAATTTCTTCAGGTGTCCCTGATTTTCCTTTCAACCATCAAGGAAATTTCATAAGGTAAAGAGTAACAAGAGTTTATCTAGAATCACGATTAGTCCCTTCTCCTATAGTTGACTTGTACATGGGTACATATACGCTTGTATACACTATATATATATATATATATCTATATATATGTATGTATGTATGTATGTATGTATGTATGTACATGAACATATTTCTATCATGACAATTCATACTTTTGGGCAAAGCCCACTTTTTGAACTTAAAATGATACCAAAAAAATTTAGTTAAAATGAGAAAAAATAGTGTTAGAAACTAGAGTTGATGAGAAAGAAAGATTAGATTATCGTTGCTCTGCACTGCATCAATTATTTGATTGATCTTCAAAAGCTGGATCACGGTATGCAGTAATCTTCTCAGATCTGATATCATTATCACCATACAGAGTACAAAAATGGAAGGACAGGCTTCAGTAAAAGAATTACTGCGAGTTAAGGAAGCGCCACCAGACATGTGTGATAATAAAACTCAAGAAACCTCCATTAACAGCACTGTAAGTTTCCTTCTATTTTGGTTTCTGTCTCCCCTCTTCCATCATAAAGATAATTGTTTTGTTAATTAAGCTCGATTGGCCAATCCAAAATCAAACCTCAGATGAAAGACCTCTATATGTAATGAGGCAGTTTCCCTCATTTTTCAATTTTCTAATATATGCAGATGGGTTTCAATTTTCTCAGTTTGAGCCTGAATATCTCAGAAAAAATCCACCCGAATCAAGAGCAGCCGTTTACTCAAGTAAGTATAATCTTTGATTAGGAAATTTATGCCATGAGTTTTGATTGGTATCACTTATACGTTGGACCAGATCAATGACTTGTGCTTTTGGGTCTGGATGACATACGATTCTTAGGCAGGTTTGCTGAGAATTAAGCTAGAGGAAGCAAAGAAAGAAAATCAGAATTTAAGAGCTATGCTAAACCAGATTACTGAACACTACACTTCTCTTCAGAATCACCTTCTTTTAACTATGCAGAAGCAGCATCAGCAGCAATCATCACCGCCTCCAAAATTTCAGGATTTTCTGGTTAGTTTGAATCAAAACTTTCTTGTTTACTTAATTATGATAACTCTGTCTCTTAATCTGGGACTTGGGATATATATTGAAAGAGCTTATTCAAAAGAGCAGATGATAAGTGTGTTCATTAATTTAGAAGCAGAATAGGGCAGATCATGTTATAGTGATGGAGAAACCAGCTTTGTCACTTGAGGGTGATCCTGGTATGAGTAGCCAAGTAAGACTGGAAGGGTCTAAAAGAATAACAGATCAAGCATTTGAGCCATCTTGCAGGAAGGCTAGAGTTTCCATACGGGCACGTTCAGATTTTTCTCTGGTATAAATCTCTATGCTATTTTGGACATATTTCTCTTTAACTGGATTAATATTACATTGGTTGAGTAAATTATATATACATTCGCCCCTTGAGGTTTTCAAAACTTACATTCACAACCCCTTTGGTTCCAATTTTAAACTTTATACAGCATGAGGGAGCTTATACTCCAGTAGCCTTATTCAATGTTTGTTATGTGTTTGCTAATTTCAGAAGATGAAAATATAGTTAATGAGGAAACTTCTGATTCTTATGATCAGATAGGTGATGGGTGTCAGTGGAGAAAGTATGGACAAAAGACAGCTAAGAATAACCCTTGTCCCCGAGCTTATTACCGTTGCAGCATGGGAAATGCATGCCCAGTTCGTAAACAGGTTCGTGAACATCTCTGTTCTATAGTATCAAGGAAACAAGCTTTCTTAAGACTTTTACAAGTGTACATTTGATGTTAGAACAAGTTGGAATCCTGTGTTTATTTTTATAAGCTCCTTTTGCAGATCCACATGTGGCTATAGAAAATGGGCTTGAGCTATTTATGTATGCACTTCGTTGACACCTTTTTGAATAAATTTATGCGTCTTCTCTACTAATCTGTTTTAACCCCGTTGGGAATTTTCTTTTCAATTGAAAAGTGGTGTGTATTATGAGTGTTTAAAATCTATGTCAACATTTGTCCAATGTCCACGTGATATGAACAGATAGTGTTAGAAACATGTTGAACAAGAACCATGTCATTGATTTTTTTAGTGTTCTTTTCTCAAAACCAAGTTCAAAACTAGAAGAATGCAATTTTTTGGTGCCAAAGAACCATGTATGAAAAAAGATTCATATATTGTTACAGGTGCAAAGGTGTGTTAAGGATAATAATGTGTTCATTACAACTTATGAAGGGAGCCATAATCATCCACTCCCTGCAGCAGCCAGACCTATGGCAAGCCTAACATCAGCAGCACTGAGCATGTTACTTACGGGCTCAACCACTAGTTCTGCACATAATAACAGCACTGTCCTAAATTCAGGCCTCTTCTCTTCATTATCTGCTCCTGCCTCTAGTGGCTTGGTTTCCTTCTCTACATCATCATCATGTCCTACAATAACATTGGACTTGACTGCCCCCTCTAAAAATAACTCTTTGAACTTCCAGAGGCCTGCCTCATCACTAAACCAGTGCCAACCATTCCCTTTCTCATTGCATGGCTCAGCTCAACAAACCGAGCAACTGAATTTGTTTGCCAAGTCTCGGACCACAATGGCATCTGAGAGAAATCCTTACTTGGAGAATTTAGTTGGTGCAGCTATGGCTAAAGATCCTTCTTTCAAAGCAACATTTGTTACAGCAATATCTTCAATCACCGAAGCAACTCAGAAACTTCATAATCACAATGAACCAAGTGGGAGTGGGCATGACCATTCTTCTTAGATGCTCTCACCGTTGCATCAGCGCTTCACCACTGGATTGATTTAGAGTCAACCCTTGTAGAAAAGGAATTAATCAACTCAAAAGCATGTGTGGCTTGCATGCATCAGCGCTACACGCAAGATATGTAATGGGAGTTTAGTTTTACAATAGGTTTTAAGTTTTCTTATTCATGGTAGCACAGCTTTTTGTACCATCTGTAATAAGAACTATAGAGCAAACCTTAGATTCTACACTTCGTGAACATGCTGTATACAAAAGTTCTTGATAGCAAAGGTTTTCAAATTTTCACTGCAATAGATTGAATTTTGCTCCTGAACAAGGAAGGAATTCGTTCTTACAATGATCTTGAGAATCATTGCTCATTGTCTTTGAAAACTTGTGGAAGGAAATTCGTTGTTTTTTCGCTCTAAATGCTGTAACCAACGACAAGAAGCATAAACTGGCCCAAGCAGAAAAGGTAATATTTCCAGGCTCAGGTTCATGAACTGAACTTTTCAAACTTTGGGGCAAGCTCTTGTCTCATAGAAAGCAGGGTCACCTTATATAGCGTGTAAGGCCATTTTCAAGCACCTAAATTGTTCTCTGCTTTCCAACATGATATGGCCGAGATAACTTAGTTAAAGGAAGTTGAAAAAAGCATAACACTGCATGAGATATATTTATAACAACACTGCATGAGGAGTATTTACAATAAAAAATCAAAGAAATAAATTAAAAGAAAATCAAAGAAATAAATTATATAGGTTCAAATGTTTAAAAAATTTAGCATCTGGAATGGAAAAGATCTAATGCACCACGCATTACCCCTTCCAAGTCCGTGGAAATCATCAGCCTTAAAGGTTTTCCCCCCAAATAAATCAAGGGATATTCCTGAAACGTATCTAATGCACCAGCAGAACTCTGTTCATTGACCTTGAAGGGTTTTCAGAAAGTCAGAGGATATTTCCTGCGCGGCAAACTAGCTGCTAAATATTGCACATTCAAACTGACTCTTGCCTGGCCACTGGAAGTCGTAGAAAATAAGAATGTTGAATCCCACAGTAAAAGAGCTATCAGGAATTCTCTGAACAGATTCTTACCGGCCTACTAGAACTAGGAGACGATAAGCATGTTGAACCTCACTAAGAGCTACCAATAAGGTTCTGTTCTCAGTTCTCAAAGACTAAACAGGGTATTTGATATCAGATCTGAAGAACAGCACGGTCATAACTGGCATTCAGAAATTTTTTGCAGCGGAAGATGAGTAGAATGTAACAAAAGCAAAGCCTTGGCCCTATATCTATGTTCTAATATTGCCATAGAGATTATATTCATTATATTAGTTAAAAGTGGAAAATCTCCCAAAAATCAAAAGGGAAGCATAGAAAACGGACTAAATTGTTCAAAGCCATCATGCTGCATTCATTCTGCAGAACTCTTTCAAGATTATGGTGAAAGTATAAGAATGAAATGTTTATCTCCTTTTTTCTGCACTGAGAGTTGATGCAAACGAATCATTATGTTAAAACATTACCTGAAGTTGCTCAAAATTTGCAGTTAACCAGCATATTCAATGTCACATAATTATTGGTTATGGAGATTGCGATCAAGCCAAGTTCTGAAGATTGGGTTATCGATCGAGACATACCAAGAATGTATTTATACAAATGAAAGGAAAATAACGACAGGAAACGACAGAAATGACAACAAAATTGTTACATATATTATAGTACGCCATGTCCTGACAGCAATTAAGGAAGGAAGAACGAATTGATCTCATTGAAATTTTCAATATTTGAATCACAAAGTCAACCTGATCCAGCAATGTGGTTCTATTAAAAAACAGACACAAATCAACACCAGCCCAACAACAATCTAACTTTGTTACAATATGCACTAAGGCATGGATGTACACTATGTCACATGGAGACCAACGTTTGGGCCAGAGGCACACTACGTCGAAAACCCTTTGGCATCTTTCTCCTTGGCCGCCAGATAGGCGACCCGTTCCAGTGCCTCTCTGGCTTTCTTCCTGGCCAAGGCAGCTTCTTTGCACCGCCGTTCTGCGTCAATCCTGGCAGCCGCCGCCGCCTTGGTCATCGAAGACGCTGCAATCCGAGCTGCGGCAACCAGTACTTTGGCCGACTGCAAATCGATAGCTCTGAGACCCTTAGCGTTTTGAGCACAAGCAGCAACTAGGTCAACTTTATCTCCCTTCCCGTTAGCCTTGTTGACAGTGGGGTTTTCGCTGGTCAACTTAAAGTATGTAAATTTGGGGTCAGCGCAAGGTGGGCACAGGTAAAAAGGAGGAGTAGAATCAGAACCGGACGAAGAGACGACGCAAGAACGGTGAGCGAAGGATGGGCATTTGTGGCACATAAGACGGAGGTGGGGCGGCGGAGAGTCGTCGTAGACGTCAAAGCAGATTGGGCAGAAGAGACCCTCATGCTTCTTGAGGACACAATTGGTACAAAAACGACGTTGGCTGGCTCGGTAGCGAACGTTGTAGAGAAGCAGACAAAGATCCCTGGTGGTGCCGCAACCCTCGCAGGAAGCGGAGGAAGATTGATCAGGCTTCATCGGAGAAGCATGGACGAGGAAGGGCCCTACCGAGCAAAGTGGCAAGTCCCAACGGTAACCCTAGAAAACAAACGCAAGATTCAATAAATTGAAGAGAAAAAAGAAAGTGGAAATGAATGTGAATTGTGAAATGGGGGGAGGTACTAAACTGTGGTCACCTTCCCATAGTCCAACAACGGTTTTTCCGATTCTACATATGGATTAAGGAACGAGATAATAAGGTTTTAAAATTTGTCGTTGAAAAATTACAACATATTTTTGTTATATTGTTTAAATAAATTTAAAGAACTCAAACACTCATATTTTTATTTAGTTTCCTTTGATTTTAAAATAATTATTTAATATCACAACCTACTTTAAAATTTTAAGTATGATTGATAATAATATTATGTCCTGTTATTTTTAACTGGAATATAATGTGCATGGACATTTGCTATATGCCCGCAAATTTTTTTCTGTAAATAAATCTCGTAAAATCTTCATTTTAATTTTTTACCAGAAAAATCTTCTTTTTATTTTACATTGACTTTCATGACATTTCTTATATATTACTCCTCCGATCCTTAATATAAGACCCATTTAACTAATTTGATTAGATTAAGGAAGTTAGGTAAGTTAGTTAATTATAAAAAATGTGACACGTTTTTCCTAAAATACCATAATCATTTTTTTTAATACCTCATCTTCCTCTTCTATTTGGTTATAGTTGAAGAAGTATCCATAAGGGTAATTTAGAGAAAATTGATAAATATGAGAAATGAGTCTTATATTTAGGACCAAAACCAACTCACCAATTGAGTCTTATATTAAGGACCGGAGGAGTACTATTATATTTCTCATTTTGTTGACTCTTCTTATAAATTCAATATAAATATAATTAAAATTGATAACTAGTGTCACCAAAAATTGTAGTAGTATTAACCTCCCATGAAGTGACGCCCAATGACCAAAAAAAAAACAACAACAACAGCGGAATGAAAAAATTCACGCACTTGGATCAAAATCAATCAGAGTAGGCGGTAAAAATGATAGAATGAATGAAACCTCAAAAAATCACTTTGCAAGTGGAGATACTCACATGTGACTTGAGATAAATTTTTTTGGTTGCTACACTTATATTATATTTTATAAATTATGATTGAAAAGTTATTTTAAAAAAATTTTAATTGTGATTTCAAACAAGCTCTTAAATAACATTTTTCTTAAAAAATTTTCAAAACACACTTTAAGGGTCTATTTGGCTCAATAAGAAAAAGGAGAATGGAGGAATTTTAATAGAGAAAAGGGAAGGAGAGGGGAGGAAAGTGAAAGGATTTTAATATTACCTTATTTGGATTTATAAAAAAAAAAAAGAGGGGAGGATTTTAATATTACCTTGTTTGGTTCATAAAGAGAGGGGAGGAAAAATATTTTGGCACAGACAATTTTATCCTTATTTTATTTAAGATTAACTTTTCAAATTTTATAGAATGTTTAATAAAATAGAATTGTAAATAACATTTAATATATTGAGCAATACTTATACCAAAATTCTAATATACTATAGAGCGTGAAGTATTATTGAAAAGAAGGTTGAAGTAATATTCAGCCACAACTTGCACTGTATCCCATCTTTGAATAAAATATTTGGTTATGCCAAGGAGAAAGTAGCGTTTGGAGACAAAAAAAAAAATTTAAGGTAGTATAGGGATATTAAAAATAAATATGGGTATAATAATCACAACATGACAAAATATTGTCATTTCTCTTCAATCCAATTTTAGAGGGGAGAGGCCTCCCCTCTTAAAATTTATGTGTTGTCAAATAAAAAAAAATGATTAAAATCTCTCCTCTCTCTCTCTCCTCCCCTCTAAATCCTTTGTACCAAATGCATCCTAAAACATCCTAAAACATATCTGAAAAGTAACGAGGGCCTGAGTTGTAATAATAGTAATAATAAAAAGCCATTGCAACCCAATACCACAATTAGTTCCCAAATTCCAATATCTATGAGGCCCAACAAAATCCGATACCTTGGGAGTATCTTGCTTCTATGAGAACGATGTCGTTTCCTGACATGTGCGGGGCTCACCATTGGGTCACATGAACGGTTCAGATTGTGCGCATGAGGTGACAAGAGACAAATCGCGTATCAAAGAAAAACGGGCGCACAGAGAGGGCGGGCATGCAAACTGGGAGCCAAAATCCTCACTTCAAACCTCGAAGGGAAAATTATAAAACACTAGGAAAAGGAGAAATCAAAATTCGGAAGAGCGGGGTTTGAGAGGAGCAGCTTCCCGAACAAGAACAACCATCAACTATGGAGCTTGACGACTGGGACTTGAGCGCAGAGGATCTTGATTCTCTCGAAAAAGACGCTTTCCAAAAGATTGCTCAACTACGCAACTCCTCTTGCTCTGCTTCTGTTTCTTCTTCTTCCACTTCTTCCAACACTCAACAATTAACTGTACAACAACAGCATTCTGCAAAACCTCGTTGCAACGACTTGGAACGATCCCCTGCAAAACCCGTTTCTGATTCTCGTCCTGAAAGAGTAAAGTTGCACTCTTTCTATTTGTTCTGTATTATTCGTCCCTCTTTGTGGTTCAATTTTTTCCTGGGTCATGCGAAAGCTGTATTATTTTTGAATGATTGCCTACTATGTTGTTGTTACAAGGGATTGTTATTTCGTTCTGGCCCATGAAATTTGTTCCTTGCTGGTCATGAGCATTGTTTCTTTATGTCTATTCAGTGTTCAAACTGATCATAGGTATGCTTGTGATTATTTGTTCTAGTCTTCCTTGATTGTGAGTCGTGGAGGTCTATTGGAATTGTTTCGGGTAAAAATAGAGTTTTCCCAAACGGTGAATAATGACCTTATGTTAATGTGATTATTATTCATTATTCAATTGTTTTAACAACAGATTTTGTTGGGTATTTTCAGTTGCTTAATGTATTTGTTTTTGTATCACGACAGGTTGAAGCTTTGTCTCCACAGTCTAGAGCGTTACCCTCGTCGCTAAAATCAGGAACAAACAGCGGTATTCTTCTCTTCCTCCATTGTTTTTTCAAGCTCAAACTTCTCTACAAATTTGTGGATATCGGGTGTCGGCCGCTCATTTTTGGGCCCTTCTCAATTTTTTTTTATGTCTTTATATTTATATTCTATATAAAATTAGTGAAATTTTGATATCTTATGGGCAAAAAAATGGTTCAATTCAATTTTTTTATGATTTTTCAAAGATTTAACACTCCAAATTGAAAAAAAATCCAAACCATTTGAAGCATTAAATCTTTGAAAAATCATTAAAAAATTTGAAAACTCAACTGTTTTTTTGCCCATAAGATATCAAAATTTCACTCAGTTTATGTAGAATCTAAAAATATTTAAAAAAATTGGGAAATACCCCGAAAATGGGGGGCAGCTGGTGGCAGCTGAGAGGGGCACAGCTGACCCCCCCAGCCCCAAATTTATACCCGATCATTTTCTTCTTCAAGTTCATTTCTCCGTTATTGTTGACCACTTCTTCAATTGGTCTTCTTATGGACAAATTATTCTGCATGGTAAAACAAATAATATTTTGTGGCAATATTGTTCTGCATTTGTCCTTGATTGTATATAACGTTGCTATTCCCTTTGTTTGCTTTTTTTTGTTGTTGTAATTTAATTTTTCTTCTTCCTTTCTTTTTTTTTTTCAAAACCGGTTATCCATTGGTTTCATCTGAATATCTGGCATTGCCTGCAATCAGATGATCATTCAAAAGAAATGCCAAAGGTTTCTGTCAAACTCTTTCTTCATTCCAGTGGAGACATTGCAGCAAAGTTTCAATATAACCAGGTATATTGGCTAACGTTGAATGGTAAAATTTAATACAATTTTCAGTACCATAGTGATTTGGTATATTAGTTTATCTCTGACCATATACAGATGCGCACATTTGTTTTCGGCTTATGCTTTAGTCTTCATTTTATATTAGGCAGTAATAGCTGCTATAAGGAGAGTCCCCAAGTCCACTTGGAATGCAAAAGAAAGGTTTGTTACTCTGTTTCTTTTGCTTTCTCCTTTTGTGGATGTGTGCATGTTGCATTAGGTTTATGGTATCTCAGGAAGCACACTTAGCATACTCTGTATTGGCTATTGTGAAGCTAGAGCCTTACAAAATGGTTTGTGCCTGTAGGTTATGGATGTTCCCACTATCTTCCTTGTCAGCAGCAGACAAGGTTCTTGCTGAAATTTCTGGTAATAATGTTCAGGTAATAGCTTCTAGCCTTCTAAAGTTTTCATTACTTTTATAATGGGGCAGCTTTTATGATTATTCACTATTTAGCAACATTGCATAAATAAGCCTAGCTAATTTTGATTCAATTTCTGAATCAATTTTTTTACAATTAAAAAAATTGTTAGCATATAAGACCTGATTTAATAAGGCGTAATTATGTCATCTATAGGGAATCAAGAATTTGAATGCTAGAGATAACACAGCTAAGAAATTTGTGTAATGATTCTGTCTATGAATAATGTGGTGTGAGAATATCAGTTAAGTTTCAGATATTAAATAAATAGGGCCTGAGATATTTTGTTCCTTTACCTCTTTTTTTATTTTTAAAATGTTCTTTTCATTTACTTTACAGGTTGATAGCCTAGATCCCCTAGTGCATCGGGCCATTGCCGCTGCATCTGCTGTTCCTGATCTTCGAGGTAAAAGCTGAGTGTTAGAATTACCATATTTTTCATTCTTCACTTCTTGCATCTACACAAGCTTTAGGTATGTATTTCCTTTGTTTTTCTTCTAAGTTTCTTATTCTGCTATCCTTGGTTGTCTTTTTAAAAAGATCGATATGACCATATCCCTACCTACATTGAATCAAAACTTTTGCCATTTCAGCGAGAGGGGATTAGGTACATATTTTCTGTGTATATTTTTTTCAAATTTTCTTTTTTATTCCTTCAATTTTAGTTTTTATTTATTTGTTGTTCTTTCAGGTTTATATTGCAGCATGGAGGGCGGGCTCTTTTAGCTGATGAAATGGGACTAGGGAAAACTTTGCAGGCAACTGACTGTTTATCAAAACCAGCAATTTGATAAGAATTTCTTAATTTTAATTGAGTCTAGCTTGACGCCGTACTAGATGCTTCTGTGCTCACTACAATCTGCTACTGTAAATGCAATTGTTTTATCTATTCACCAGCTATTGCCATTGTCTCCTTTCACATGAAATTTTTGTGCGAGATGTTGATTGATGTAGAAGAATTGTTACGATTTTAAGCAAATATTGGCATCTGAGAGATGCTTATGAGTTTATTGGCTAGATATCACTTAAGGGGCGTGTTTTCTCCCTTATGAGCTGGTTTTAGGAGTAGGTTCTTCTTGCTTGCTCGGGCCTCCATCACCCTTGCAGTATCATCCCTTCTGCTAGTTTATCTGAGTCCATAAACATATTTTGGGAGTTTTTTGTTATATCACATCACCCTTGCAATATCATCCCTTCTGCTAGTTTATCTGAGTCCATAAACATATTTTGGGAGTTTTTTGTTATCTTAATAAGAAAAATGCTTAGTCTTTTACTTTTAAAAAAGAATTGAGGAATCTAAAATTTGGACAGTTAGAGAAGGAAAGTTAGGCATATTGGGGAGTATTTCCGTCTAATTTATTGTGTCTTCTGCAGGCCATTGCTGTAACTTCATGCGTTTCTGAGTCATGGCCTGTGCTTATACTTGCACCATCTTCATTGCGGTTGCAATGGGCTTCTGTAAGGATTGTTGTATAATTCCATTTCTCATATCTAAAAGAAGCTGCATTTGTGAAAGATGCATTTACAGTTTTGCTTTCATCCAGATGATTCAACAGTGGCTGGATATTCCTTCATCAGATATACTTGTATGTTATCTCGATACTCTTTGTGTAGTTTTTCTCTCTTACTGCCTTTTTTGTCTGAAAAACTGCGGAGAACCTTCTTTTTCTGGTTCTAGTTTTTTAACTCTGCAAAATATAATATCTTTCTATTGGTAGACACTCTTCTGTTGATTTGTTATATTGAGTAGGTTGTGCTATCTCAAAGTGGCGGATCAAATAAAGGAGGCTTCACTATAGTATCTTCTAATGCAAAAAGCAGCATCCATCTAGATGGACTGTTCAACATCATCTCGTATGATTTGGTTCCAAAGCTACAGAACATGCTTATGGCATCTGACTTTAAGGTTAGAGCCATCTAGTTATCTAATTTTGCTGACTTTTACAGTAGTTCTGCTTCTAATTTCCAGTCAGAAAGTAATAAGGTTTCTAAATAGAAGAATTTCTTATATATATGTGTAATGACTTGTGAAATAACTGTTAAAACATCAAAGGGGATAGAGGAAAACCGAAGAGAACATTCAATGGAGTTATTTAAAAGGACTTTTTGGCGAACAATTTATCCAAACATTTGGGTGTTGATAGAGCATAATGGCTTCTGACCCCATATAGTGAGATGAGGCTTGTTGTTGTTTCATTTCCTTTATAGTGTTTGGTATTTTATAAAGGATATTGATTAAGCCAACAGATAATATTTTCTTTTATATTTGCTAATCTTCCTCTGGTTCTGTAATAGTTGTGCATGAACTTTTGCTTCTTGGGTATGTTCTTAATTGGTTTTTGAAGTTTTTCACTGATTAAGTTCATAAACATTCTTAACAGTGAAGTACTTCATTCAGGTTGTGATTGCAGATGAGTCACACTTTCTAAAAAATGCTCAAGCAAAGAGAACTACTGCTTCTCTTCCAGTTATAAAGGTATTCTAATCTTGAAAACGACGATCACATTGACATACTTGCCTCTGCTATCTGTACTTTTATACTAAGCTCATGCGAGGACACCCTCTTCTAAAGTAGCATATTGACTCTTAGGATTCAAAACTTCTATTCCCATCCTTGAAAGAAATCCTGGCTTCATATGTGAAAGTGAAACTTCCTGTTGGGACTTTCTGTTTTAACCTGTTTTTTGATTCCCAGAGTTGCAATAGACTCTGGCAGCTTGCTATCAATCTCTTGATCTTTCTTATGCTTTTTTCCTGCTAAAACTCAATGTGCAAGTGTGTCATTGTCAGAAAGCTCAATATGCAATATTGCTTAGTGGAACTCCTGCTTTGTCCCGACCAATTGAACTATTCAAGCAGGTATTTTCTCTCTGTCATTTTATTTCAGATGTAATACCTTGTTAATGGTTCCAGCCAGAAAAGAAAAAAGGAAAAGAAACCTTGTTAATGATTGACATGTTGGAATCTTGACTTCTGATCGTATTATTGGAATTATGCTCAACAGCTGGAAGCATTGTATCCTGGTGTTTATAAAAACGTCCATGAATATGGTAACAGATACTGCAGGGGTGTAAGTTAATTCTATTAACATGCAGATAAGATTCTTTAAACTAGCCAGCTCTTTTCCATTATTAATTTTATGCTGGGTGTTGTCCCTATTTTGTTATTATATTGGTCTTCCAGGGATTATTTGGACTCTACCAAGGTGCAAGTAACCATGAAGAATTGCACAATTTGATGAAGGCAACAGTGATGATTCGCAGGCTTAAAAAGGACGTTCTTTCTCAACTTCCTGTGAAGCGCAGGCAACAGGTAACTATAACTATCGCTACCTAACCTGCTTGTAGACTTGCTAGCCTGTGAATGATTGCTTATTTATTGCTGAACACTTGAGGACTGAGATAATAGCATTGACCAACCCCCTGCCGCCAAAAACAAACCACCAAACACGCAATATGGTCAGCTGCCTATCGGATATTAGAATTGGAACCATGATTTTTTTTTTTTTTTTTGAATGCATACATGTGAAGCACAACTTCTGTGTGTGTGTGTCTGGTATGTAGGGATCTGCTTTGGCTTTGATATTTTATTCTTTTATTTTTGTTCTTTTCACCATGACATATTTTCGGTATTGCCATACTTGATGAGGGAACAAAGCAACATCTTGGCACTGGCTTTAGTAAACAATGCAATAGTGGCCCCATTTACTACAGTAGTGGTGAGAGGGGATAGTTTGCAGAAGAAAAAGTCTGAGCGAGAAGACTTTGGGAGTCAAGGAGGAGGATGGGATGGGAGAAAGATGGAAGATAGTGCTCGTTTTAGCTGGAATGGTTGTGGCGAACCCTGTACAATCTATATGATTGTTTTTTCTTTTTAAGTCTGATAGCGTCTCCTTGAGAGGCCTCCTTTGGTGATTAGGTTGAATTAATTATTTTCCATTTCAATACTTCGAAATCAGTGCTGTAGCCATTTTTAATTTCATCCTACTTGGTGCTTATTTCTATTGTATATGCATGAAAGTGTATTTTACTATTTTTTTCCTAAAAATATTTTCTAATATTCAATTCAATGTTGAAACATGATTAAAGAAAAGAAACTCCTTTGATATGTGAGGTCACCAGTGGGCGCTCTGGAAACATTTTTTTTCCTGAAAAAAAAAATTCTTGTATGGTTTGAATAGAATGTTGTTGGTCTAGTTCACATGCAAAACAGTGATTTCCCTTTGATTTTATTGAAAATCTTTTTTTTCCTTGGCACAAATTTTTGCCTGGCACGACGGGTGTGTCTTTGTGGATGCTTTTGCCCGTGCTTGCTTGCGTGTTTATGAATACAAACTGGATGGAAGTGTTCAATTAAATGTTGTTAATTATTTAATATCAACTTGATCTTCAGGTCTTCCTAGATTTGGATGCCAAGGACATGAGGCAAATCAATGCTTTATTTCGGGAGGTAATTCAATGTATTTGGACTTTTTTACACAAAATATTCTCTGATCATATTTATTGGGCATCTTGAGAGGTTAAGGATGGCAACATTAAACATTCTTAATTACTCATTCCAATCCTAAATGCAAGAGCTATGCAACTAATTCATACATGTTAAGGAGGAAATTAGTTAAGTTAGTTCTTTGTTAAAAAAATTGTGTATTAGTTTCCCTAAAATACCCCTCTTTTTAATTATTTACATTGAATACTGCACCAATTCATTGCATGCAGAGGGGTAGTTTTGGGGGAAATGATGAATGTGGGGGACCAAGGAGATTGAGTTCTTATATTTAGTACCTAAACAAAACCCCCAACTAGCTCCTGCATTTAGTATTGCAGGAGTATTAGTTGAGCTAGCTATTGAATGCAATTCTTGTTTGTCTTGGTAATTTTTTTCCTAGTTCGTTTTATTGTTGAGCATTATATTGAGGAGCATTGTACAATATATTGCAATGTCCTACCATTAAACTGGTTTCCTTTTTCTTGACTCTTCGTGGTTGTTGTCTTGTTGATGTCGTGTTCATTTTTACATTTCTTGTGAGTTCATTATTTTTTGGTGTCTATCATGCACCTTTCATGGACATGTGCCTTAATGAGGACTGAGGACTCTATTTCCAATAGGCAACTTTGACTCTAACCAATTTTTCACTTGAACCACGGTGTTGAAGTCTGGCTAAAATATTTACATGGAAGTTGTACCAATTATGTATTGCTTATGTCAGTGGAGTTAGTGTAAGCCAACTTATACGCATCTTTTTTGCAGTTGGAGGTTGTTAAAGCCAAAATTAAGGCAGCCAAATCAAAAGATGAGGCTGAAACGCTTAAGTTTACTCAAAAGAATCTTATTAACAAGGTATGGATAAAAGTTCTGCAGTGGAGTTTGGGATGCACAGTGTGTTCAAAATAGATTAATGATTCAGGATAACATCTGCACATGCTCTGCCTTGTATGGTCTGTCCAAATCATTATGATCATTTTGTGTGATTGAACTGTGAACATTGTTGGTATAAAAAACTGAATGTTTGTTTATTTCCAGATATATACTGAATCTGCTGAAGCCAAGATCCCAGCGGTTCTTGATTACATTGGAACTGTTGTTGAGGTATTCCTTAAAGTCTTTTAAAGAAATCTAAGAATAATATTTTCTACTAAATGTGCAAAAGAAATGCAAGATCTGTTGTCAGTTCTCTTATCTCTCGTTTTCCTATTTGCTTGCTTATATGCATCCTTAATGTTTGCCAAATTACTCGCTTTTGTAATTAGGTTAGGTTCATTTTTCTTATCTATTACTCCTCCGGTCCTAAATGTAAAATCCATTTTGTAGTGTAATTTACACTATAAAAAAGGTCTTATATTTAGGACCGGAGGAATAATAAATTTTACTCTTCTCGTTAGCTATCTCTTTCCCTCTCTTCTTCCTCCTTCCTCTTTATTTATCTCTTATCTCCCTGCATTCCTTCTTTTTCCCTCTTTTCAATAAATTTTTTGCTGTTAGTTCTACATCACGACCTCTACAATTTTGGCAAGAGTGCAAGACTCAATAGGAAAATATGTTTCCTAAACTCGCCCACTTGTGTATGTGCCTCATTAACTAGCATCGTAAATAATTATATATTCTTGATAAATATGGGTGACGTCTTCTTTTTTTGTGATTTCTTTTGGCCTACCTTTTGTTATGCTAAATTGCTAATATCTAATGATTGTTGCAGGCAGGTTGCAAGTTTCTGATATTCGCACACCATCAGCCAATGATAGATTCAATACATGATTTTCTAATTGTAAGACCACTCAACTTTACTGGACTTATCATGAAATAATCAGCACTCATACAAATTGTTCCAAATTATATAGAAAAAGAAGGTGGGTTGCATCCGCATTGATGGCAACACAGCCCCTGCATTTAGGCAAGCGTTGGTTACAGATTTCCAGGAAAAGGATTCTATTAAGGCAGCTGTGGTATGGTTTCTTTACATTGTTTTTGGTAATTAGTCTTCTATTTTCTGTAAGGCTGCTTGCAAGATTGGACCCTTGTTTTGGTGTATAGTGGGGGTCAAAATTGTAATCGACATTTCTGTGTTCTCCTGCAGCTGTCTATCAAAGCTGGAGGAGTTGGGTTAACTTTAACTGCTGCAAGCACTGTCATTTTTGCGGAACTGTCCTGGACCCCAGGTGACCTAATTCAAGCAGAAGATCGGGCTCATAGAATTGGCCAGGTATAGTCGGGAAATTGGGAGAATCAGAACTAGTTGAACTGATGCGCCTCTGATTTATTCAAATACTGGTTTGGGCCGTAACTTTATATGCGCTTCACTTGAATGAACGATGTGAAGTTTCTTCTTGCTGGAACCTTCATTGTTCTGTTAGGACTGTTGAGCTCCAAGATAAATCATTTCTAGTTGGATAGAGTACAATGATTTAACTGTTGAAAATATATCCTAATCCCTAGGACTGAATTATCAATTACATCTCACGTACTTCTGCTATGATATTCCAGGCCATGTGTAAATTGTAATGCCAGTCTTGACACTCGTCTATTCAGAAACAGTGCAGAATTTTTGTGATGCTTGGTCATATGTTCTTAACTAAAAATAAATAAATAAATAATCTAGCATTCCTTTCACCAATGGACAGTTTATGCTGTAAGGTGTTAAATTTTGTTAGTTCTTGTTTTCAGGTATCTTCAGTGAACATATACTACTTGCTAGCGAATGATACAGTTGATGACATCATATGGTAGGTTCATGTGTTTTTTGATGCTCTGGGTTTGGTATCAATTTGACGCCTTTAAATATATTTTGATAGTCTTATAATTTACTTCACAGGGATGTAGTGCAGAGCAAATTGGAAAATTTGGGACAGGTACGGACGTCTTTACTTTGAGAGCTCACATAACTATTTTACCGAAAAGGAGTACATCCTCCACGTGGCCGTTTCTGTAAATTTGAATGATATGAAGTCTAAATCGCATGCTTTTTTTAAGCTTCAAGGAAAATTCAGACTAAAGTGGATCTTAATAGTTTAGATGGACATTTCTGCGAAGCATTCTGAATTCCAGTAATTGAACTATCAGATGTTAGATGGCCATGAGAACACCATGGAGGTTGCAGCCAATCAGCCAGGGAATAGCCCTGCAAAGCAGCAAACTCTTGACCCCTTTGTGAAAAGATGTAATAACATGGATGAGCCAGAACAGCAGCCCAACCCGAAACGCCCCCGACCCTAACCCACAAGTTCTGCAAAATGGCGTTAATGGATTCTTGTACATACGTGTATGCTTTGGCTGTCTGCTTTGAGTCTCTTGAAGGTCATGTAAGCTGTGGTAATATAATTTGTCCAAAAGTTTTTTATATCAGAGTAAAGGGAAGGCCTTCTGAAGCAGATGCAGCTAAAATCTATGTACAAGGAGGCTTGGATAAGTAGGTTGTTAGAATAATCATTCAATGCATGTTGCTGGAGTTGAAGATTAGCTTCGAGAAACGTTGGATGGACATAGTATGATAGCTATCTTTTATGGGGCTTGGCTATTAGTGAACGTTAAGGAATATGCAAGATTGTGAATTATTTTTAGTGCACTCAGCTATCTTGTGTCCTAGAACTGTAAGAAGCAATTTTTTTTAAGGATTGAAAACAAAAGGAACAAAAAGGAAAGGAAAGGAAACATGAGGAAAATGAGGAGCACAAGGAACTCAGACTTGTATGCTAATTGGTTTGAGGTTTGTTGGTATGACTTCTATAAATAAATTTAATAAAATAACTGCAGGAAAAAAAAAAGTACTATCTCTAAAATATAAAAACCGGAATAAGCAATACTGCGGATAACATGTTTGAACTTTCACCAAAAAGAAGATATAAATAACAATCTTTTTTTTTTTTAACCAAACAAATAACTAGAAATCATACAGGCCAAATTTTATGCACAATCTACGACCTCTATGAATTTCTCTCCAATTAGTTCCTTTTATAAACACCCATTAATATTTTTACGTAAATGAGGAAAACTTATTAAATTAGTTGTTTCTTATAAAATACTACCTGTCTTTATTATAAGACTCGGTTTGATTTTTATGTTAGTTATAAATATAAGACCTCAATCATTTTGTCTCTCATATTTACTCAATTTTTTTCTAAAATAATCCTTCTAATAATTATAGTTTTAGCAAACATACTTGATTAGTAAGAATATATTAGGAAAAACAACATATTTAGTACAAATAACTAACTTAACTTTTTTTTAATTTTTTCAAATAGATAACTAAATAATCTTCTAATAATTATTTTAGCAAACATACTTGATTAGTAAGAATATATTAGGAAAAACAATACATATTTAGTACAAATAACTAACTTAACTTTTTTTTTTAATTTTTCAAATTAGATAACTAGCTCTTATAATTAGGATCGGAAGTAGTATTAAAATTATTCTCAATAAAAATTATTAGTAAGAGAGATTTGTTTAATTAGCCAAGAAGTTATTTCTCTAGTTCTCAATATAAGATCTAATTAGAGTTGATTTTGATCCTAAATATAAAACTCATTTATTATATTTATTAATTTTTCATAAATTACCTCATAAATCTCTCTTACCCATAATCCAGTAAAAAGAGAGATAATATTAAAAAAAATAACTATAGTGTTTTAAGAAAAACATGTCATATTTTTTATAATTAACTAACTTATCTAATTTTCTTAATCTAATCAAATTAGTTAAATAAATCTTATATTAAAAACTAGAGGAACATACAGGTAAGGATGATAGGTGACCAAAATTAATAATTTAGACAACATATTATATAATGAAGCGTAGAAATTCCTTATAATACAAATCGGAGGAAGCATAACACAACCCAAAACAACCAGGCATTTGTGTAACTAGTGTGATGTAAATATTTACAATTTCGAAAATTATCAGACCTGTGGCTACAACAGGCTCCCAGCCTCCCATGATTACCTGACTAATCCAAATGCACAGGGCAAAAGTAGGATCAACCACACGACCTCCAGCAAATAAAAAATATTCATACTATTAGGCTACAAGGCCATGGAACCTATTTAGACATCTCAAACCCATCGTCAAGGAGCAGCAGCAGCATCAGAACTTGGATCACTCTGATTGTCCCCAAAGAGACTAGCCACGATAGCATCCACGTCCTCCAAAGAAACACCAATGAACAGGGGATTGGCAGGAATCTTGACAGAATCATTATTTAATCCCTCAGTGAGACCTTCACCAACAGAATTTTGAACCCTCACATTGGGACCAGTTTTGCACTTCCCCATGCACTTGCAACCTACAACAGCACCTTCAGTGCCCACAACCCTCTCAAATTCTTGAAGCAATGCAGGAGCTCCTGATTTTTTGCACTTGTTACCCATGCAGACTTCAATCCTCTTTTGAGGTGCAGTGGTAGTAGCTACATTATCAAATTTAGAGCCAACATTGATGCTGCTAATACTAGTATCACTAGAGTATGCACCAAGCTCAAAAGGGTTCTCATTGGTAGTCCTTCCTTGAGGCAAAGAGCTAGGTGGGGAAAGCACAGCAGCCTCCTGAACAGGTGACTGTAATTGATCTACGGTTGCTGAGGCAAGGGCGGTACTTGCTCTAAGGCTGCGCATATCAACCATCTCCCCACGGTCGCTGTCACTTGATTCAGATGAAGACGAAGATGAAGATTCACAATCAGGTGCAGTTTTCATCCTAGCGGCTTTTAGCTTGGCTTTCTCTTGTTTCTTTACTCTCTTCATTTCCTTCTTCTCCGCTTTTAATTGTTCTAGTTGTTTCAGTAAAACCTCAGCAGCGTCCTGTGTACAGGAAAGAACAAATAAGAGCATGACACCCATGGGGAGCTGAGCCCCATCTACCACTTACAACAAAATAGAATGCAGGGATTTACACAATCCATTCAACGTACATGTTTTGAAGTTCAAACAATCTAATAATTTTTTTTAACTGTTTTCCGAGACAAGTATTAACTACTCATGAACCTATTGCCCTCCAAACACCCCCCCCAAAAAAAAAAGGGACTTTTGAATCCAGCTTTACTCATCTCTTAGACAGGTAAGTAATTTTGTAAGATTACACTTCAGCATGCCAAAAAACACAACATATTGCACCCAAAAAATGAAGTAACGTCACCACAGAGCGACCGAATTATGTCAAGTACAAGAATAAAAACACGAGACTCACCGAGGTTAGCTTGCCCGGAACTTCCCCCAACAAATTAAGCTTTTCCGTATCCAAATAGAACCCCAATTCAGAGGCCATCAACAAGCCCTTAGACAATCCCTTGAGCAGTTTCATCTTCTTCTTAGCTGTCAGAACTGCCGAACCCTGTTGCTTGTCCCTAACACCGCACCTGGGCGTCGACGCCTTGTAATACTGGAGATGCCCATTGTCAGAGAATCCAGAATCCGATCTAGCCCTCACCGAAACCCTAATACCCCGAACGCGCCCATTAAAACGAGAACCATCACCACCCACATCCACCGACCCGCCGGACGCTAAACGCCGAGGAGAAGACAGGTTATCGATTCCGGCACCGTAGATGTTGGTGATTCGCTGGAGAACGGTGCCGGAGACCTCCATAGCCTTAGAATCAAAGTTGGAATGCGCCTTTTTCAGTTTTCTTCTCTAGCGAACCCCTCTGTTTCTCACGTTTTAAGGGAGGAATTCATCGGGATTCAAAGGAATGCCACGGTGGACGGTTGAGATTTGTTTAATGGTGACGTGGCAGTCTCTCTACCTTCGCGCCTGGAGGCGGCTGACCGTTTTATGTTTCCCACGCTTTTTCTTCTTCCAAACACACGAACAAGATCAATATAGTCCGTTCGATGTAGCCTTAATATCGGACGGTGACAAATTTACCCACGTTACGACACTTAGGCTGCCGTTGCGTTGCTGTGCTTCTTGGACGTGTCATTCGCACATTATTATTGCCCCTTTCATCCAAATTCTTATTTTGATGGTCGAAAATTCAAATATTATTTATAAGCTATAAATGATATTAATTGAAATATTACTTTCCAGTTATTTTTAGGATGAGTAGAACATATGTATCATATCTTAAATAATATAATTTGTTAAAATTTTTATATTTATTTCAATTATATTTTATATTTATATTTTTACATTAGATTCATTGACGGTCCTAAATGTAGCAATAATCATGATGAATTTGTTTAGGATTGATAATGAAGAACTTAAAAAAATAATAACATTTTGGCCAAAAAAATTAAAAAAATAATTTCAATGACTTACATAGTATATGTATGTGTGAGTATGATAAAACTCTCACCAGTAATGTTAGTTAATGCTTTCTTGTCTTCTTTCAATGATGTGTTGAGAGACTGAAATTGCATTTTAACTCAATAATATTTTTCAAATAAAAAAGTAATGCATTATTTAGCTTAAAAAAATCATTTAATTTATTTAAGTTATATGAACTAAATATTTATAATATATTTTTGGTTTCATGAGACATTTCAGGGCGTTAATACAGAGTCAACCTAACTTACAGCTCATGGTGGCATGTTTGAGGGATTAGTTGGAATTGAAAGCGAGAACACAGAGCTATAAATGGAGTGGACCTCAAATATTTTAACACCTTATAATTGAACACACCATTCATCATTATTGAGCTTGCAAACATCGTGCAAAGGAAATAAAGTTTCTCTTGATGGAAAAGAATCAAAATTTCAGAACAAATATGCTCCCAACCAAAGCATCATATTTGGCTATCAAAAGAAACCTACACAAGAAGCGTTAGTGAACCCAGGTAATAAGAGATTTTTAGTAGTAATTTATTGTTATACATATGTTCATCTGTTCACCAGGACTGTGGATTGATTGGTATCAAGGGCCCTGCAAAAATTCATCATGTCATGTAACTAAATATCGTTACATCCGGTCTTAAAAATAAGATCTAATTCTTATATTTATGACCGGAGATAGTACTACACTTTTGGATGGTGCTTTTTAATATTATTTACCAAAGTATAGAATTAGCCTCTTTTGTTGCTCCCTTTGGCTGAATTAACTAAATGCAATGAAATTGAATCTGACAATCAGCTTTCATAAACATAATCTATATTCAATAAAAACATTTAGCAATCGTTTATAAAATCAAATAAACACAAAATATAAGGATGCATTAAACATGCAGGTCAATTATTATAGTAGAGCTCAGTAAACATTAAGAGATGTGCCTAAACACGGCACGGCTTTTCTTTACAGAAATAGATAGATATGAACTACATATGACTACGCCATTGACACTATTGACAGAAGATTAGCCATTTCACTTACTCAGCTACTTTATTATGGAACGCTCTCTCTTCAAAACCTCTTCATGTTCCTCCGTATTTCTTCAGAAAGGTTGATACTTGATACTGTGCTTGCAACCATTGGCCTCTGGACATCATAAGGAAAAGAATAATGAATGCTTAACAGCTATTTCTTCTAACCATTAGGTCCCCAAAATCAGTGGCTTCTCAGGATGATGGTATGCCGGCTAAAAGTTCTCGAGATCCTGCTAGGTGTCCCGGGACACGTTGCCTTATTTCTTCAAAGGCACACAATGTTTCTGAGTCCAAACCTCCAGCAAACTGCAGAAAACATACAGGAGAACTTGATGGTAAGAATTGAGTTACGGGTGTCCACAAGTTTCAATCAAAAAATATTAATGCAGTGACATGTCTGGAGATTTTGCACCAAAAGAATTACCTGATGTGCCCTATATGCAAAATGCACACCCTGAAGCAGAAGAGATTCTTGACTAGATTCTCTGTCTGAGTTCCGAATGGATTCAAGCTCCATTGTCACTCTTTTCATGTACATCTTTACCAGAGTCATGGAATGCTTCTTTATCTGCAAAAACGTGGTATGGTGCCAATCAACTCAACTACATCAATACAACTGGACAGCATGAGTAAAGAAATAGGATTGTGATGACGGGACAGGAAAGGCATAAATCCTTTAACGTCATTTTTAGAGGCGGGCTTATTAAAAAGTTGATAACTATTGATGACAGAAACATAATTAACAACTATTGATAACGTAATTTTATATAAATGTAGCGTTAGTCACAAGCCAAAAAGCAAAGTTTCATTATGGTTCTCGTATGCAGAGTATAAACACAAAACTATATACCTTTGACATAATTCCCGAGTCAAGCATCCAAGCTGTTGGAATTTTCAAGTCGTGATATGATCGCATGACAGAATTTCGCAGCTTGATTAGCTTCTGTATGCTCCGCTCAGACCTACCAAAAGGAGACGTGAACGAGGACAAAAATAGCATCATCATTCATAATTCTGGCACGTTTTGAACTAATATATAAATAAGTTGTCTTGATATATTTTTTACTTGTCTAATAAGCTGGCCATCTTTTTTAAGGCAGCTCCACAAGGAATGTCAGGATCATCCTTGAACGAGGAAATCTCCTGTTCTAACAACTTAAGGTCACGATATTCAACTGCAGCTTCTCGCAAGGCATCAGCTTTCCTCTCTGGCCAGTTAAAATGCTTCAAGACCGCTTGCTCATCGGCCTGTAGAAGATAGAATTAGCAGCCAGTGATGACAACTTCTATCATACCAACTGAGCTCGAGGTCCACAACATCAATATAAAATCAATGTCTTTCTACAAGTCTTGTGACTATGTCTCATTTACTATTTCCATTCTTCAGGAAAATATTTTTCAGATTTGAGAAACTGGCCAAACAAATCAATAGATTTCATCAAAAACTTACCAATGATGAGAGTTGGCCATCAAGCCAATCTACAAACTTCAGGACATCTTCTATATCTGAGTATGCTGCATCTACCACCTTCTTTATAAGGTCATTAATGAATTCTCCTTTTGTTTCAATGTCTGTCCTTATCTAGATAAGATTGCCAGCCATTAGTGCAACATACTCTGAAGTTATTAGACAACAGGAGCATATCCAAAAGTTGATTTTCAACACAAAAATGCTTACTGCTAAGAGATGTGCTGAACGGTTTTGAATTTCTCCAACAATGCTACTGTGTGCACTTATAGCTACTGGTTTATGGAAGTTCCCTAATCCTCTTGGATTTTTCTTCACTTCTTGCTTCTTTAAAGCATTATACAAGTCAACAAGTACAGGGGCCTTTTGGGTGATAGATGCTTTTGCTGGAGGCCTGGATGGGATTGGAGGTGGTAGAGGTGGCGGAGGAGGCGGTGCAAGACATGGCCTAGGTGGAGGTTTTCTTCCGACACTTGCAGCTTTAGGAATAACACATCCGGATGCTGGCACTGGAATCGGTGCTTTAACAAAAACTGATTCAACAGTATCAACCTTTTTAACCTTCGACCGCTCCAATTTGTCAGCGATGAGTCTTTGTATGTCTTTAAATTTGGTACTCTGGTGCTCTCCACTTGTCTCCTTCATCCAAGACGAAAATCAGAATAATCTCTCAATAAGCTGGTAATTAAACTAGGTATTATATAAAACTATAAAGCATATAATCAGTCTCATTTTCCTCTTAAACTCATGACGTCGAAGGCCCAATCGAACAGTGGTAAATGATCACGAAAAATGGGGCAAAACTTGGAAATATAAGGCATAATTGTAGTTAATAATTTATGGGCGGGAAAAAGAAGAAAGAGAGATTGAGACGAATCCTATAGTTGAAGCAAGGTATAACAGAACCACAAAAAATTTGACTATCACCTTTTCACGGGTGCTAGCCGCAACTAACTTTGCCTCAGCAGCAGCGAGATTTTCGGTCAGCTTCCTGTTCTGAGACTCCAATTCAACGTTCAAGCTCTTAACCTCATCCAATTCAGCCTTCAAGGCCACCACCTCAGACTCCAAATTCTTGATCAAGTTTTCGCTCAAATCAAGTTTCTCCAGCAATGCCTTCTTCCCAGTCGGGTCGTCTTCATTCTTTCTCAAACTAAAATCCCCCGCCCGTCGTCGGGGCCGAGCAAATTGCTCCACTGCAGGGCGATTCACAAAACGAGCCGTCACAACTTTGGCCTCTTCGGTTTCCTTAGCCTTTTGAGATCCCACAGCTACCTCACCAGATTTTGGCTTGTTGAGCAGAAGAGCCCTCTTAGCCTTGGAATTGTTCTTCATGTCTGGAGGTACTGACTTTGCTCTTGATGATGATGGTGATGGTGATGATGATGAAGGTGAAGATGATAACCCATTGACAGTCTCTGGTGATTTTGGAGAATCTTTGACCTTAGAAGGTGCTCTCAAACGAGAAGGCGTTAGGCTCTGCTGGGACGTGTCAATAGGCTTGCATACACTTCTAGCTGTTGAGTTTGTCGTCGGAAGTGGCTGCGGTGGTGTCGGCGGCGGCGTCACTTGCTTCATAACTCTTATTGTCAAAATGGGGTCTGCAAGTAGGACAAAAATGATCACAATTTGGCAGCAGAACAAGTTATAAAGCCGAAAACTTTTGCCTTTGTGAAAAAGGATGTTCTTTTCTGAAGGAAAAGACAGAGTATATATGCTGACGCCCGTGTGTGTGTGTGAGAAAAGGGTGAGACTTTGAGGATGAGACAGTATCAATTATAATATAGGGTGGCCATTGACAGCCACCTTAATGACCCACAGGCATTCACGCAATAATTAGCTTTGATTCTTCTTCTTCTTCTTCTTCTTCTTCTTCTTCTTCTTCTTCTTCTTCTTCGCAATTCAATTACAACTCTCGAAAACCAATCCTTCGACCTAGGAGGGTCACATGCTCTGCTTTATCTTGGCCACCTCACGACCAAGCAAGTGAACCCAAGTTGACGAGCTAAGGACATATTTACCAACCCAGGTCCAGGTTGCGAACTAGATGCCAGATAAAAGTGGTGAGAAAGAAAAAGAAATTCCATTTGTTGCTTTGTCCTGTAATGCATGATCCTAGTCGTTGTCCTTGTCTCTGTCCGTCCCTTCGTACACTTAGAATACAAAATGCATTAGCATATGCCTGTCTACAACTAGGATTAGTTTTTGTTAATAAAAACTGACACTTATAGCTAAGGTGTTTAAAAAAAGCAAGCGTTCTCAGAAGAAAAATAAAATAAAATTTGGGACTTCCCAGTTAGTTGGTTTGGATTTTGTATATTTTAGTACATATTACTGGCCAAAGTACCCACTAAACTTTTCATCTTTGGATCACAGTGCTTGTGATTTTGTTCTTTGAAATATTGTGCTGAATTATTTTTTTAAAGAAAAATTAGGTCTGTACGACTTTGTTCAAATTTCGGTGGTGAAAATTGTCCTCGTGTGCCTAAACGTTGGCTTAAAAATAAAGTGTTTATGACTTAAAATTAAAGAGACCGCAAGCTAAAAGCTTTGAAGACTAATTATAAAATATACTGATGATTTCGTTGCCGAATAAAGTGCTCGTGGGTCCCAAATATTAGACCCTGTTTTCTATCAGGCGTTCTAAACATTAAAAAAGAAAAGAAAAATAATCACTAGATATTGTCCAATTCATTTTGAGAAAAAAATCTTCCATAGATCGAGACAAACATGTAATTGTTCATGTAAATTTAAATATATTTTGCAAAAGAGAATATATTTAAATCAACCGGTATTAATAAAAAAGCGAGAAACAAGTATGAAGAAATCTAAGGATTAATTTTCACCAAAAAAAAATCTGGGTATTAATTTCACGAATCCAATAAGGTGTTAAAAGCTTCATAAGAATTCAATTATAGAGCTGTGTCTTGTAAGGTGAACTTGTTAGTTGAGGGTCATGTTTCAAAGATAGATTCGGTTGGTGAGTTTTGTGAAGTGGGTTTCCATCAAAATAAAGTTTGCTTAAATTCAAGTGCTTCTTTAATTACACTTTTTGTCTAGCAATGTATATGGCTTTAACTCCAAGTCTTAACTGATCCATTCATTGCTGATAACACCAGTTTTCTTTTTGCTGCTCAAGTGGCACAATCATCAATAAAAGCATTCTCAATTTTCAGGCAGAGGAATCTTAAATACGCACGCAACTCTAATTCCATATGTTCACAAACCATAAATATAGATGTTGAAGTTTGCAAACTAACGATAGAACATATAAATCATTGCATCAAATTGCTAACTTTCCTAAAGTGAATGTGTGGAAAAAGAATGCCTTAATTCTGATTAGATGGAACAAATGGACGAGTGAGAGAGAATATAGGCCCTTTGGTTGGCCTTGTCATGTGGTTTAATGTCAAAATCAGACTTTATAGGGGTTGGCTAGGGTGGCATTCATATCCTTATCTCCCAAAATAACTCCAACTTCTATGAAATATGGACCACACCTTCAACCAGATCACTCTTCCATAAGCCTCCAAACAAATCAAATACATACAACCAAAGCAAGAGATAAGATGTTCTCTGATTTTATGGTGAGTTTAGACACTTGGTGTCCTAGGAGGAGTTTGGCTCATATATTGCACAAGTTCGATATTAAGGGCTGTTTGGATAGAACCAAACCATAGTTTTAGAAGTGTTTACGGATACGAAGTAAATATATGTGGAGGAAGTTACCTCGTTGCGGAAAAGTGCTTTTGAAACCACGTTTTGAGAATGCCAAACACCCCCTTATATATCAGAACCAGCAGTTAGTTGGGTAAAGTGGAAAGGGTTCAATTACTTTTAAATAATGTCCAAATTTTGAACCTTATAAATGGGGAAAAAATTGTATTAAGAGGACTTCCTCTTAAATATGGTCAAATAATAGTAGAAAAATTATATAAAATTAGATCGCTTTAATTATGCAATATTATTACATATATAATATATTCCAAAAATATTTTGATGGGTCCATGAAGATTGGGAATGCAAACAAATATCCAAAGCATAGGCCACGCAAATCGAAGACCTAGGATCAAGCAATTTTAGGCAGTACATTCACGAAAAGATGTGTCTCAGCTATCAAGATTCCCCATCTCGCTAATGAAATGTATTATTATTACTATTACTACTACATATATATATATATATTGAAAAGGCAAATATGGATTACCCTAATAGCAATATTCCTCATTAAAAGACACAAAAAGCTAGTGAGTCACTAAGTCATTGCTTAAGGCCCTTAAAAGCTACAAAGATTCCTTTCTTGATCTCTACAAAATGGCTCAAAATCAGGAAAAGTTATAAACTTACTATGAGTTAATCAGATCCAAAAGCATGTCTCTGATCTTTCTTTCGTTAACTTTTGTATAACAACATCAAGACTATTTTAAAATATCGTGGTGATTAAATACAGTTGGAAGATAAGAAAATTATCTGTGATAAATTTAGTTTGGAACCTCACAAATTGAAGATACATGCAAGCTTAAGAAATTAGTTAAATAACGAACTAATCAGTGAGAAGAACTATCAATATAAATTTATAAGCTTATGATGATTTATCAACAAATTTTGAAAATCATGAAGTCAAATTTTTTAAGAAATTATGAACATCTTAAAAAGCAAAAGAAGCAAAACCACTGTCACGTGAGTTATTAGCTCAAGTTTGATCGTTCTAATTAACAACCGCAAATGAAATGACTCTTCAATCATGCCATTGTGTCTAGCAATGTGAAAGGAAAACGTTTCCCTCCAAAACCAAGGAAGCAACCACTAGGTGGGGCATGTAAGGGAAAAGGATAAGAATCTCTGTCTAAGAATCTTAAAAAGACATACCTGCATCTGATGTGAAGAGGCGCGTTAAGAAAAAGATGATGGTTAAACAAAGGGAAGAGAAGCATATGACCTGACTGGAAGAGTTATTCACCTTCTAAAATTTGCAGCAAATAGAGTTCACTCATGCAATACTGTTGGCCAAGAGCTTCATGTGATTGCCAATAGCCAAGGGCCGTCTTTTATATGTGTGTAAATATACATATGATATGATTAAACTCTTTGGAGTTGGTGAAAAGGGGAAACCCGTGAAACCTGAATAAGCTACTTATTCTATAGACTTTAGCAATGTGTGAGTGCGCAAGAAAGTGAGAGAGAAAAAGGAGAACCATTTTCTGCTGCTTCTGCAGCATCTGCTCAATTTTAGAGCCACCGCACTCCTCTCATAGTTCAAAGCAATATTTCCAGCCACGTCTTCCATTAGGCCTAATACAAACAAAAGCCTTTCCTGAATCACATGTTTGCCCCACTCGACCACAGGACCACTCTGACCTCATTTCTTAATTTGACTTCCCTCACAGGCAGTATGGTCTTTCCAAAAAAGAAAGAAAAAATTAACGACTCATGTTTATAATGGATAGATAGATTCCGTTAACTATATAAAAATACGAAGATATGGCTGCCAATTTTCAAGGGAAAATATTCCTTAAATAATCATACTTTCTATTCATAGTTATTTTGATTTACTTTAATTTTGTAGACGAGGAAGATGCATGAATTTTTCTAGTTTTTATGCAAAACTAGCTGGGCTCCGTTTGTTTTTTATGGTAAATTTCAGAGGCACATGAAGATTCATCTGCAGACAAATTTAAGGACAGAATGTCTGTTAATTCATCAGCTTCCCAACTATCCGAGTTTTGGTTATAAAGAGCATTTAAGCCTACGGCTTTCACAACTCAGCTCATCAAAAATCAACCAAGAAACCACTTGGCAACAGCCTGCAAGTTTAACTTGCGCTTAAACTTCAGAAACCAGAGAGACTGAATATTGATATACCTGCAAAGAAGCTTCCTTTATCTTTCATATACATATTGCAGTCTTCTAGTCTTAATAGCTCCTCTTTCATGTGGTTAACCTGACTGAAGTATGAAAAATGAGATCACAGATATATATGATGAATGACTAAACACAGAAATTGACAAAAAGGGAGAAAGAAAACCTTGAGAATTGTTGGTGAGGGTTCTTGAATTTATAATGGGGTTTCTCTGGAGCAATTGATCAAACACTTGTAAGGTGATAAAGGGAACGGGTGAGAGGAGGGGATGGTGTAGTGGGTGATTTCCTTTGAAGGAATGCTTGCAAATAAATAAGAATGAAGAAAGAAAGAGTCCCAATCTGCTCTTCCTTTGTTGGGTGTGACTTGCATATCACATGAAAGTGCCATTTCTTACAGCGGTTGTTATATGATACAAACCAAAGAATGATTCACCATTTTGAAATCGTTTCTCTTTGAAATTGCATCCTTGAGCTTGTGTTGTTTCTCTTGTTTCAATGGGTAGGTTTGTTTTCAAATCCTTAAAACAATATGTCTACATTTTTCCCAATTTCCAAGTACATCTCTCCTTGTTTAATTCGAACCCTTGGTTATTGTGCAGTTGTGAGAATATAATGAGAAAAATAAAAGATTAATGTGAAAGAAGAAATAATTGTTATATACAATTTCATTTTCTGTGTGATTGTAGAGAAATATTTACATTCTGCCGTTTTCATTGTAACAATTTAGTGACAATTCAAGAGCCACAAAACTTTACCAAAATTAATATTTTGATTGCCCAACGAATTTTATCCCCTTATGGTTGGTACGTCGGTCTATGAACTGTGTCCAAAAATGGGAGACATCAAGGTTACCATTTAATTTTTAAGTTTTAACCAACTTGTTCTGTATCATCTTTAATTCTTTATCCCCTTTGGTTCGATTTTTTTCCATGTCTTTCCAAACAATTGATGGGTTAGCTTTATGGATAACATGAATGAATTTGGACGCAATGAAGTTGAATGCAGAGTATTAACATCCCACATTTTTCTTTATACTCCCCTTATTGCTAAATATAGGAGTTGAGTCAAGAAATTAATTGTTATTCATTAAAAAAAAAAGTATATTGGTTTTCCTCAAATACCCAATTAATCATTTATATTGAAATTACGCTCATCAACAGAAACTCTTTTAATATGTACATGTAAGTATACACAATTAATAGGGATAGTTTAAAGATAAAAATATAAATTTAAGAGAAAAATGGATTGAAATTTTGCATTTAGTATCAAACTAAGCACTCTAATTAGCTCTTACATTTAAAATAAAAGAAAATAATTGCAAAACAAAACTAGGTTACAAGTGGTGTGTTCACACGAAATCTAAAGTGAATCACACTATTTATATTTTTATCAACAATAAAAGAAAATCTCTTATGGGTCATGTATGATATGTAATTAAAAACATTGGTAGTTTGGTCCTTTGCATTCAATTTTACCAATTTTAGAGACTCTGAATCTCAAAGGATACATGCTACTATTGAGTTATAGTTATTTGTCAAAGACCTTTAACATGTATTTGTGTAAATTAGGTGGGGCCCCATATATTTTACTGAATTAAAAAACTAAGTCATCCTGTTTATAGTTTAATTATGTTATATGGTTTTATAGTCCCTTAAGAATTGAAGTAGGACCTAAAACCTCTAATTAAATCCTTGATTATGGCCAGAGTGTGATTGATTGCATGAGATCTGAGTTCACGTGTGTTTGTAGTTTGAGTAAGAAATTGCATGCCTGCAGCTTTAAGGTAAGGGATGTTAGTATCAAGTAAAACTAACGAAGATGACGCCACAAAGTGTAAAATATAATTTGTTTCTTAATAACAACAACACAGAAATCTTATGTTAAGATCCTAAAACACAAATCCAAACATAGTGGTTGTGATTTTTGAGGTAGTAGGTTCTGGCGTTCTGGTGGTGGGGTCCCAGATCTGAATCACAAACTTCGCCACGTTTTAAACTCCACTCTTTTAAAGACTTGGCAACAAATTCAATCTTTCTTTTTTCTTTTTCTGCGTCCAAGATTATTTTTTTCTTCATTGATTGGATCCTTAAAAGTAATATAAATCTGATAGAAAAGTTAGTGATTCTCAGTGGAGTCAGTTTGGTGTTAATAATAAGTGATTGGATGGTCCTGTTCTTAAAAGTGATGGCAATGCGTGTCTCCATCATTGGGCAAACCAACAATAATCGCAAATCACATTATGATATCATCAAGCACATATCAGACCCTTTTCAATTGAGTAAATTAACAGATAATAATCATAATCGTTGTTATTACCATTATTTGAAAACATTCAAAAGATTCTCCATATATCAGTTGGCTTGGTCCATACTTTTTTTGGTGTATGGAGTATTTTGCAATTCTCTTTTTGTTCTCTAAATTGTAAGGAAGGAATAAATACTGTAGTTGAGAGGACATTTCAGAATCTATACCCAATTTGTGTTTTTTCCCCTTTTTTTTTTTGGGTAACACAGGCAACCTTAATTTTATATCTGTAATATGAACATAAATCTTTCTTAGTAGGATTAATATAATCTGTGATCCTTTAAGTTTGTCTTCATTTTGGTTTGGGTCTCTTAAATTTCAAACTATAAATTTTGGTCCCTCAAGAGGCAAAATGGTCCAAGTTTTTATTAAATTACAGGGATCAATGTTTTAAAGGAAATAAAACTTAAAGGACCAAAACTTATGATTTGAAACTTGAGGGACCAAAATCAAAATAAGAGCAAATATGATGAATCAAAAATTATATTAACCCTTCTTAGTATTAACACAATTTTGCTGATATTTTTAACTCCAACTGTTCACCAATCTAGTCTTTGCATTAACCTTTTTCATGTTAACACTGCGTAGTTATTTACTGTGAAATCTTAATCTTGCAAGGTCCTTGATTTGCTGAGTTGTAACTTGCAGGAATTCAGTTGAGTTCTTTTATGGAAGAACCTGTGTGCAATGCCACTAAGGAAGCATAGGCACCACCTTTGTTGAGCAAATTCTCATGCTTTCCCTTCTCTTCTATGACTCCATTTTTAATTACTGCAATCAAATCTGCACTTTTAACTGTGGATAATCTATGAGCCACTACTACTGTGGTTCTTTCCACCATAATTTGATCCAACGCGTCCTGTACCACTTTCTCAGATTCTGCATCTAAGGCACTGGTAGCTTCATCCAGAAGCAAGCAATTTTCGGATTCTTTACTATGGCTCGTGCAATAGCCACGCGCTGCTTTGTCCCCCAGATAACTGAACTCCTCGCTCTCCTACTATTGTGTCATACCCCTGCATGTATCAACATCATCAATATCAATATATACTATAAAAATTATAACAAGAATACTATTTATAATAAGTTATTAATATCTTGACTTGCTCATCAGATTACGTGTAATTCAGAGAGTCCACCTAGTTGTTTTTCCAAAATCAAATATTTTCATGTATGATGTATAACTAGGATTTAATATCAAAGTGCTGGAAGCTAAATTTACTGAGTGGTCATGAAAAAGAAAATGAGCTGATATGGAATTGTAAGTTACCTGCTGCAAACTAGAAATGAACTTGTGAGCATTTGCCAGTTCTGCTGCAGCAATAATTTCAGCCTCTGTTGCATCCCCTCCCTTTCCATATGCGATATTGGCTCTAATTGTATCATTAAATAACATAGGCTCTTGACTCACCAAACCCATTTGCTGTCTTAACCATTTTACTTGTAGCTTTTGGATTTCTATTCCATCCAGTGTAATGTGACCTGAATCAGGATCATAAAATCTCTGCAACAACGAGATCACAGTTGATTTCCCACTTCCACTTTCTCCAACTATAGCAACTGTCTGTATTTTCACCAACAGTTTGATCAAAAGTTAGTTTCTTCCAATTGGAATAACAGTATAATTGGCAAATGTTAGTTTGTGCATGTTCACCAAAATCAAACTGTGCATTATGTGCACTGTGTACCTTTCCTGAACGAATGCTCAAGGAAAGATCTCTGAATACTTGAAAATCAGATCTGGTTGGATATTTGAAACTGATATGGCGAAACTCAATTTCTCCCATTAACCGTTCCAATGTCATCCCGGAGTCATCACTGGGATCTATTTTTGATTTCCCATCAAGAATAGTAAATATAGAACCAACGGAACTCTTAGCTTTACTTGAATCAGGAGCCAAGGAGCTAAATTGGGAGATTCCTAATGCTGCTACAGTGAGAGCAAAGAAGACCTACAAACAGGAAACAGAACCATCAGAAAGGGCTACAATACGGCTACTTTGAACCTTTCTATTACAGTATATTTTTTATCAAAATGACTGGTAACTGATACTATTATATGTATGGCTTCCCTTTGAAGCTTCTCACATGATTGTTTTTTAAGAAATCACTTTATCTAGTATGCAAGGAGATTGGACAGTGATAATGCATTAATAGGCTTTACATTTTTCTGTTCCTATATGTTTTGAACCTTTCCGCAGTATCTAGTTTGAGGATATCTCATCCTTCTGCTGGCTGTAACTCATCATTTTTATCCTCTCCCAAAAGAATGATACTAAAATGTCAATAATTAAATGAAAAGCCATGAAATGTGTATGCCAAGTTAAACAAGTTAGAAGACTAGAGGACCCACACGAAAAACATCTGAGAATGATGATTTGCCGTCTTGTACAAGTCGAGCTCCAGCGTAGAAACTGCATGCATAGACAGAAAACAGCAAGAAGAATGATAAACCAAATCCAGCTCCACTTATTATCCCTCTCCTTATGCCTGTTTTAATTGGCCCTTCACATCTTTTATGGTATAATTCCATCACCTTCTCCTCAGCACAGAAAGAAGCAACTGTTCTAATACTCCCTACTGCATCATTCGCCACTTGACTTGCTTCCTCATACAATTTCTGTTAAAAAGTATAATGAATATCATTCCAGAAAATCAAATACAAAAGGTTATGATAACGTTTGACACATAAATTAACTACTCAAGTATAATGATGATACAAATTAGTGATTACTGAAGTTATCAAGTCACAAGTCAAAGTAGGAAGTTCACTTTACAAACTTACAAACATCACAAAATCCCCCCAGGTCGAAAATTTAAAGGAACAAACCTTAGCATCTGCGCTGAAATCCTTCTATGAACTTGAACTGTGCGTATCCATTGAGTACTAATATGGGTAGCATAACAAGAATTATAAGAGCAAGCTGCCAGCATGCCTCCA